GTAACCAGTCTGTACAAACCAAGGTACATTTCAGCATTGTGTCTTTAGTAATATGTAAAGATCAGGGAACATGTTCTTCACTACACATATAACCAGACTGTAAGTACATTTCAGCATTGTGTCTTTAGTAATATGTAAAGATTAGGGAACATGTTCTTCACTACACATATAACCAGTCTGTAGGTACATTTCAGCATTATGTCTTTAGTAATATGTGAATATCAGGAAACATGTCCTTCACTAAACCAGTCTGTACAAGCCGGTTACATTTTTAGCATTGTCTTTGGCAGTAGGTAAAATTGAGTGAATATATCCTTCATTACATATTCAACCAGTCTGTACAAGCCTGGGTAAATTTTCAGTATTGTGAACTCAGCCAGTTTTTAGGATATCTATAAGTCAGAGAAATATTTCCTGCATTGTTAATACAACCAATCTGTGTAGGTGATATAACTTCATCACATTTATGGATGCATCCATCTGTAGAACTTACGGTACATGACATATATCAAAACTAGTGCCATGTGGAATATTTAAATTTAAATTTTTCAACCTTGAAAGTAATGATGGGAATGTTTTTAGTTTTTATCAGCATAGCTAACTTTAAGAATAAGCTTTCATATTTTATAAATGTACCTTTTAGGCATTTATTCAGTCAGTTATACTTTTTTGTATATTTTTCTGCAGTCAGAAGAAATTCCAGTCACATTTTAACATCAGAAAGCTCTGCTTTTGAGGATATTGTGACACATCAAGAAACTTGTTTGTCATTTGATTTTGAAAGTGGGAGCGAAGTTTTCTCTCCTGTGTGCTCAGATACAGAGCTAGAAAATAAAGACAAACTCAGAACAGCTTTTCAGGATGACACTGTAATGAATGTCTGTAATGGATATTCTGCAAAAAATATGGTATCACGTTCTAGTCAGCAATCAAATGTTTTAGAAACAACTGGTAATGAAGAAATGTTGGGTCATTATCTTGTCAAGGACAACACGTTGTTAACAACCAGTAACGGAGAACGGCAGCTAGGATACCAGTCATCAGATGATGAAGACAGTGATATTGTGACATGTGGGATGAAGCAATTGTCAGTTACTGTAGATGTCCACTCTGAACCGACTCATTGATAAGATATGTAATAATGAATGTTGTTTCACAGTCTTGTTATGTGTGATCAGTGCCTAGCACTGTTTCAATTTATCTTTGATCAATCTTATGTTAGAGTAACAAGCAACCCTCAGCACTTCTAGAATTCTTTCTTAAAGCTTGCTGAAGTGTTTGAAGTTCTTCAACACTTAACTCTTTCCTTTCAAATGGACAGTGACTCCAAAAAGAATGTTCAGAATTATGAGTGTATCTCAAAATATTTTCTATAATTGCTGAAATGAAAAATATTTTACTCAGACTACTTCTAATGCTTTTTAATATCATGATTTATATACTCAACTGTACATGAGATAGAACTGAAGGTTTAAAATGTTTTCTTTGGGCATTTCCTCTGTAGAACATTTATAAAAATAGAGAATACTGTTATGTATTTGCTCGTTTGTTAATTTCCGGTATAAATTCTTTCTGAGGAACTTCGGTGAAACAAGTCCTTTCATAATTAAAACTAGTTTATTCTTTCTCGATACAACTTTGTAATACACAGAATCTCCACAGTCACTCTAAACTTAACAACGTTTATAATACATGCTATAAATCACAGTGATTCACACATTTTACTTACGGTGCCTACTGTTCGCTTGACTCACTTATCTATCTCTTCCATCTATCTGCCGATCGTGCTGGTTTTTCTTGCCAGGCTTATATATTAAAAAGAGGGCGTCTAGCAAACACTGGGACATTCACGAGGTTCCCCGATAATTCTAGAAACTCCAGCATCACGCGACTTCTGCTGTAATCATTGTATTTGTGCAATTTTGGATTCTATTTTTCACATGTGATTTGTTGATTTCAATGCTAATAAGTGTGTTTTTTCCTAATTCTTTTTTTTTCCAAATAAAATTACAGTAATAAAAGTGGATTATATGTTGGATTACCATTGCTGTCACTCAAGGTAAGCCTTATAAAAATACTGGGGGAGGGGTAATAAGAGAAGGGGCAATATGGTAATTATAGTAATTACGGGGTTAATTTTTAGCTCTGACCTACGTGGATAGCTTGCTTTGATTAGATAATATTGCAGCATATTTCTGTTGTTTAGGTTTAACTACAACAGAATATTAACAGTGAAAAATTGTTAGCTGTAATTTACTTTTATACAATAATATTTTACCAAGATAAAAAAACAAACAAGGATTACAACTGCAGAATAATTTTTAAAATATTTTTTTGTACTACATGTAGACATTTCAACAGAATCTTGGCCTCTTCATCAGGTTTTTTATTGTACAATTTTAAACATTTTTATTGTACAATATTAAGTGCACTATGTGCTTCATACAATCATTTTGACATTCTTCCAAAAAATAAAACTATGACACCTAAAATTTTTTTTATATAATTAAAGTGGAGCCAAAACATAAATCCTAAATAAGTTTGTCAATAAATATTAAAGAAAATATGTAATCCAAAATGATTTCATGAAATAAGCATTATATTTCTGATAATACTATTGAAGGAAAAAACAAACAAACTAAACTTGTTAATTAGTGGCCTTATTCAGAGATTTAAGTAGAAATAATGCATACAAAGAAAAAAACTATCATATTTTTAACTGGTACTTTTACTACTTAAATGCCTCAATATCATGAGATTGAAGAAAATTAAAATGTATGTAACAGGTGAAAAGAACAGAGAATACTAAGTGATGAATATGGGGCTCAGGGACTCTGTTCAAATAATTTTGAGGAAGATATTTTCAAGATACCTGATAATTGGTAGTAACATTAAGTATTGTTTGTAAGATAACTGAAGAATAATTTAGTTACTTGAAGAAATCATTTCTGAAATTAATATAAAGTTTGTTTTTAATTATATAGTTTAATTCACATGTAGCTTCATTTTGATTCTGGTAAAAGGGTTCTTACATGCAAAAGCAGCAAAATAACCTGTTTCTTCAAGTTTGTAGGTTAAATATTATGGAGTTATAACTGTTATAAAAATAGCAGCTATTTATTTCTCAGATAATAGGCATAACATTTTCTTACAATAATGATTTTAAACACACCATTCTCTGCACTGCATTTTTATCCAATCTCTGTAAATTGAGTATTTCCTGCAATTGTGAATTCAATCAATTACTGAAGGCCTGACTAAATTTACCATGTTTAACAAAAGTTTTATCACAATGTAATATAATACACATTAACAGATCATGCAGTATCAACCTAGGTATTGTTCATCCCAAGTTTTAGTATGTTCAGGGTTTTAATTCATAAAATATGTTCTTATTTGATCATTTTATTTTTCATTTAACTGCACCTGATGCTATTAACAATATGTTTGTATTTGGAGTGGATATTTTTTGGTACTTATATAAAACATTTTTAACTTCTTTTACACTTGTGGATAACTTCACCAAGAGTCTTCCCAGCAAGATGATGAGGCACCACCTGAATTTAAAGTGCTTGGTAACTTTCAGCCAGTTGCTGGAGAGAAAGAAGTACTCAGGTACTTCTACCATGTTGAAATAAAGCCATGCCGAGGGTTAAGCAACCACCACAATCCCAATAATGTGATGCAACTACACTGTTTCCAGTGAACAGATAGGGCTATCCTAACCCTACAGTGGTTTACATGGCTAAGTCTATTCTGATTATGCCTTTGCTTGTGATATGGTGGGTCAGTGGTGAGTGAATTTCTCATACTTTGCCAAGTGGAAAAGTAGACAAGTCTGTCAGTTTTGACCAACTGCTCAAGAGATCCAGGAGAACAAACACTAGTGATAAATGCTATCACTACAACTACAGAAAGCTAGGCCTGGCCACCAACTTTGTTGAAAATGGCAAATAGCTTGCACCAGAGGATGTGGTAGTCAGCCCAGTTCTTTTAGGGCTGGGTGAAGCTTGGTACTTACAGGTGAGGGTACAAGGATGAGACTGAGTTCCTGATTTACATAGGAGCAACCACATCTCTGACAGATCTTGCTATATATCAAGCCCTCCAAGTGAGACACCATGCCAGTTGGTGGATACTGACTTTGTTCTAAGAGATGGTGATATATTAGACATAAGTGGAGGGGTAGATCTCTAGAGGTGTCTACGAAATGTCACTCGCAGAACAAAGGTAGCCATCTCAAACCTCAGATTTGGCACTGGAAAACCCGAGATGAACATCCTGTGGAAATTATATCAATTTTGCCCATGCAGCTGGTGAGCTGATGTTTTATGGAGGAGATATACATCCAATGTTAGCCAAATCAAGTCCAGGAACAGTGTAATGCACAAGTGTATGCAGTGTAGGGAAAAAGAGCACTTCTGTGTTCTGTAGTTTACTACAGATCAAGTCTAGTCTGTTGGTGCCATGTAATGTAATTATCTGTCAAAGGAGGGGTGAAGTCCCTCTGTTTTTTTTATCCAACCTTTGGAGAGTGCTTGATCATCTCCACTAGTGATTGTTACAAAGAACAAGGGTACACAAAAATTATGTGTTGATTTTAGATAGGTGCACGTGGTAACTCATGTTGATGCCTTTTATTTATCATGAACAGATAAATGTTTGAATGCATTAGAAAGGTCTCGCTGATTCAACACTTTTAGATCTGGTGTCGGAATTCTAGCAAGTTAAGCTAGATGACAAGGGCATACCTAAAACTGACTGTTTATAGCACCAGGGATGGCTTGTATGGATTCCATGTCATACTGTTCAATCTGGATAATACATCTACCATTTTTAAGAGGCTAATGGAGTTTACACTGAAGGAGCTCAGTCTAATGGGAGAGATGCCTGGCTTATATATGGATTAGAGATTATGCTTTGTTGTCTTTTGTCCATCATGGATGAAATAGAACAGCAAAGCTAAAAGTATTGGTCACTTAGAAACTCAATGAGGCCTGGGAATCAGAACGTTCACAGGCATTAGGAATGCCCATAGAAATAATTGTAATCAAGCAGTATGACTCTTTTCAATTTAAGTACCTATCTGAACTTTTGACTAATTGAAATTGACATGATCTTGCATTTTCAATCCAGACTTTTGTTATTTAAGATCAAGTTATTGACCATCTTGTCTAGTTCTTTCTTCAACCAGCCAGTGCTTATCTTGCCTTATTCCTAACAATATCCCAAAGTTTTTCTTGCTGCATGATAGGCCAACAATATGAAAAAGACCAGGATGCTGAGGATTTTTTCTACAGTGTTGTTCTTGGTACCATGAAACAAAAAACAATCACTGAATAAATGCTGCCAAAAATCATTTTATGGAATGTGTTGGAACTCAGAAAACATTAAGATTCCCAAATATTCAGGATAGTTTGGACATGTAGATGTGTTCACCAATAGCAAGTATATGATAAAATAGTTTGAGTGATGTTTCATTTTATTTTTTTCAGCAGTTTTCTAATATTCTGTAAATTAAGTCTTTGAATGAAATGCCCATAAAACATTTCTTCACTTAGATTGCAACAACTTCATTTTAATTTAATTTTAAACTGAATTTGTGTTGTAATTAATAGCGTTCAAAGAAGGTAGAAACCCTTAACAAAGAAAGCCCTTTACCAAAGTTACCCATTCATGAACGTGTTTCTGATGAAGATTACTTGAATGTAAGATACAAATACTTATCAAGTGCATGCAGATTATGAGTCATAATGTTATAATTAATTGATTTGGTATATTTTATGCAGGTATACAAAAGTCTGCCTATAGTTCAATTTCTGGCTGTTATATTTACTCATGTGCCTAAAATTATATTATTTTTCAATATTACACTAATATTGTTGCATTTGTTGCAATAAAAATTAATAAAACAACTGTATTTGATTTAGTTTCTCTGATATACAAAAATGATACCTTTTTAATCAATTGTTGAAAGGTATTTTCATTTATGTACTGATAAAAATCAGACTATATACATAGCTTAATAACAAATTTCACACATGAAAGTTTTCCAAGTTTTATTAAGTAAATTGATTCAAGTTTTGTATAAAAATTAACTTCATCATACATCTTATTTTCAGATTAAATACAAATAGATAATTTTTCAGTTTAAGAAACCTGTGTTTTTTATATCATAATACTGTAAACATGATGATATGAGTAAAGCCAACACAAAATATGAATTCTTGATGCTTAAAATAACAATTCACACAACAAAAGTTCAATACTGACTTATACTGTAAAAGAAACAATGCTTAATACTGACAACAAATATCAAAACCTGATATAATAAGGTTTGATACTGGAAAACATTACTTGATAAAACAGTGATTAATACAAAAAAAAACTTCGTACAACAGTGGCTACTCCTCACAACAGAGATGACCTGATATAATAACACAATAATGCTGTCATCAGAAAGTAACATATAATTACTTCTGATACCGAACTAACCATTTTACTACTAATCAATCCCAAACATTTCGGGATAAAAAAATACATTGAGAGAGTAATATACCAGCTTGAAATAATACTACTATATCAAAAAACAACCTAAAAACTTCATAATCAAATGAAATACACTTAAAGAACAACTTAAACTTATGATATAATGCCCTAACCACTTCATAATAAATTGGTAGCATTAAACACAACCTACAATTCCAAACTGAAAGGATAATTCTTAGCAAAAATCAAAAGACTTCAGAATGAAACATCTGTATTAAAAGGACAACCTAAACAGTTTTTGATGTAGAAAAGAACTGTGAAAAGAAAAAATTACAATAAATAGTTTATATTTAAGTAATGACCTAAAGACAAAAAAAAATAATTTTTGTAAAAGTGGAATAAAAACACATATTAGGATAAAATACCTAGGCTATAAAAAAAACCTGAAATTTATGAATGAAAGGTTTCAATATTTCATTGTTTGCCATCACAGTGACCAAAGTGTTTATAAAGTAAAGCAAGTCAAAAAATGATAACTGTTTTTCTGAAATTAATACTTATTTATGATATACTGTCTTGTAAAATGGTCCTAAAAAGCTTCAACACCAAAACAGATTTTGTTTTGAGTTTACTTACTGATTAAGTACTATTTGATTATGAGTTACAGCTTTTACAGCAAGGAGGATTTGGTTTTAGAACAGGTACGATTTTTTGATCATTCTTGCGATCGAGACATCGTATCTGTTCTAAAAACAAATATTCCTTACAGTGAAAGCTGTAATTTCTTATGAAACAAAACAGATTTTGTTCTGAAATAAGTATTTTTTAGTCCATATACCAAGACTGTCTTGACCCTGATGTTGTGATATGTAATTGCTACAATACATAGGAACTTTGCACAAAGATGAACCAAGTATTTTACTCAATTTGTAGAACTAATCTTAATAAAAACTAATGTATTACAAACATGTTAATATACTTGTTTGTCTTTCTCACAATATAATATTTTTTCAACAAGTTACAAACCTTGTATTTCAATAGTAACTATACATTCACATCTTTCAACTTTACAAAATTAACATATGCTTAACTAAAACAATTATTAGAATATGACTACATGAAATGACTTATCAGTACCTCTTTAGAGAACATTTTTAAATAGTTGTACATTACACTGTAACCTATATTATTCTTTGTATTCAACAGAACATAAATTATGATATCACTTTTTAGAAACACCTGAAGTATTATAATCTTTCACACACAGTTATGTAATAAAAAAAAATGTTTTATTTTGTTCTCAAAACAAGAGAAGCAAAGTTTCTGTATTTTTATTCTTTTTATGCTTTATTTGTACTACCTAAAAATTTTCAATTATTTTAAATATTAAATTTACACAACCAAAAATTTTTAACATAGGTATATACTCAAGAGATAACAACATGCACATATAAGCACCTGTATATATACTTTGGTTTAGCTAAAATGCAGAATTATCACTGTTGAAAAATAACAGAGTGCAATACAATTATATAACATGGAATGTTTTTAAGCACAAAGCTGGAAATAAAATACATACAAAATACATTACTTATTTATAAAAGTTCTATGATAATTTTTTTAACAAGTTTTATTTTTCATAACATTATTAAATGTCAACAAGAATTAGTTGTTTGAATTGGCTGAGTGGTAGAATACAAATAATTTGATGGTTACTTCAAAATTTACTAGAACCTTTCTTAATTGGTAGAGATCTACAAAGGTTGGCAGACAAATTTTAATCCTTGAAAGAACCAGTGATATCATTATGGCTTTTTTTTTGGGGGGGGGTAGTTTGAACCAATCAAATCCCTCACAATTTTATTATCCTAATATAAAATGCAAAAATACAACTATCATGCAAGTGGCTCTAATTAGCCTCAGCAGTGCCCACCCTTTCAAAACTCTTATCTCATTTTCTCAAACAGAAGAAAGGTCCACCTTTTGAAAATGCTTGGGTTATAGGGTTTCGTATTTTTGTCTCGTGGTTAGAGTATAAAACCGAACAAGACATCACCTATTGTTTTGCAGAAGGTGGTATAACTAACTAAAACTGACAATGCCTTTACTACTTTTGGTTCTTTTCTTTTGGAGAAATGGTCCTAAAAACATAGAATCATGGAAAAAATAACACTTCATCAGAGTGCTATGTCTACTTGGTCTGCTTACTCAGCTTTTTTCATAACTTGTAATATTACTCAACAGCTGAAGAATGCCAATCTATATATAAAACTCAAAATCTCTGTTTGTTTGCTTGTTTGTCTGCTGCGTTCACTGTGCAGGTCACACTTCCCTCACATGAAAATGCATAAAACGACAATTTTTTGTTGATATACTCATCTACTGTCTGCTACAGAACCAGTAATTTTATTATTAACATATACACTACACGAATAAATTCTATGCAGACTTGACATTTTTTGGTAAGTTTGATTTAACATTTAGTTAGAATATAGCATTATAGGCCTATTTACTTATAGCTAATTAACTATACATCTACTAATACATAATACATTTAACTTCACACAAAAAAAAATTATGCGGAATTAGAATGTCAAGTGTAAAAAAGCAAACAGTTGGCCTAGCCTATAAAATAAAATGATGCCATCTGCTATAAAATAGAATATGTGAAAATAGTAAGGTTTAAATTATAATACTTATTGCGTACAATGAGATTAAAGTCAAGTTAGCATAAATGGTAGAGCGCTTGCATGAGATGGAAGATGTGTTGAACCTGGAAATTGTATTATTTTTTTATATTAGTATCACAATAGACAGGCCTATTTAGTTATAGATTATTAATTATTCATCTACTAATACATCATATATTTAACCTCACACACAGGAGAGATGTATGCAGAATTAGAATGTTGTGTGTGAAAAAGCAAACAGTAGGCCTAGGCTATAAAATAAAATAATGCTGTCTATCATAAAATAGACTATATGAAAGAGTAAAGCTTACATTAAAATACTTATTGTATAAAATGTGATTAAAGTCAAGTCAGCAAATGTATTTTCTCTACTCATTATTTTCCCAAATATGTGCATCTGTTACCAAGTGTTAGTATTGTAAAGGCCCAAACCATCCCAATGATCAAGCTATAGCACCACCACTGGTAAACACAACAGGATTAAAGTTTACATTCCGTAGAGGTTTAATAAAGGCTTAATTCTAACATTTCTGATGTCAGCTGTATATTGAAAAACATTTCCTGATCCTCTAAAAATATTACAGGATTAAACTTTAAGTGCAATATAGCTTCTTTCCTCCTAAAAAATATCACAATGCTGAAGTTTAACTACAACTTCTTGTTTATCATATGGTGTAGGGTGAACCTTCACCTTAAAGGATTTGTAGAAAATAAGGAAATGTTTTGAAAGCAACAAAGGGTTAAAGTTTAAGTACAGTCTTGTTCCAATGAACTACATGTAGTTTAGTTCTCATATGCGAGTTGTGTGAATGAGGGCTTAAAAGGCTCGTACTGAAATATTATTTAATTTCTTTTTTATATCAGTTTCAAAAAGTTCATTAAAAATTTTTTTTCTAAATATTTACCGACTGGTGGAGATTCATATCTTGATTTTAAGTTTGTTTTTTAAATACATACATATAAGTACACGTCACGCACCATCATAAAATTCTTTCAGCATTTATAACACAAAGTTTCAAAACAAACAGACCTGAAAAAAAAATATGCAACAACTAATTAATGTACATTTTTCAAACACTCTTATACTAATAATATTCATATGATCAAATAAATCATGAAACATAATTTTTGCAATCTTTAAATCCTTAGAGGGTAGAAATAATGCTGAATGAAACTGGGGATAATAATGTTGCTCCTACATTAAATCACTCTGCCAAATTGGATTGACGATACAGTTTTTCAGGGTTATGAGAGGCCATGTGAGAAAAGTCTCGAACAACCTCTTTATATGTTTCATCTCCTATAAGACACAAAGAGATTTTGTTGAACCTTTCATCCTCTACCAGATAACTGAAACTAAAGAAATCTAATTAAATTATTTTTATACAGGACAAAAATTGCCAACATTAAACTTTCACCACCATTTCATAATAAATGAGTTTATCCTATGACATTTTCTTCTAAAAAATGATAAACATCACTAAATGCATCCTGCATTTAAAATAATGGAAATTATCTCACTAAACCTTTTAGTTACTACAAATATACCTGATTTACATTTTAAATATTTTGCCCTGTTCAAGATTTAAAAAAAAGGAACAGAAATTAAAATCATTTTTTACCCCAAAATGCATCAAATAGATCAACTAGAGGGTTACTCAGTAGAGTGCATAACTCTGCCACACAGCGTTGACGTATTCGGTTTTCCAAAAATAGAAAAATGTGTCCGTATGTCCATTGTTATCAACAGACACAGACCATTTTTGGCAGGATAATGAGGAATAATATTCTACATATGTCCACCAAATTTCATCAAAATCTGACCATTTTTGACTGAGCAAAAATAGTGTGAAAAATCGGTCCCCAGACATGGATTTTTTGGATTTTCGTGACCTTCTAAGATAGGTCATAGTTCAAATGTGTACTAACTTTTGTCCAAATCTATTCAGCCATTTTCAAGAAATCTTGCTGACAAACACTCAAACGCACACACATGTGAAACATAACCTCCGTTTCACCTTCGACAGCAGAGGTAATAAATGTTAAATGTGTGTATATTCATGTTTTAATAATTTACTGGTTATCATTCACACTAACAAATTCATTCTTGAAATTATACAAAATTTATAAATATATAACTTGCTGAAAATATTACAAGTTACAATAGCATATGTATTAAATAATAAGAGCTGTTCGTCTTAAGTAATCATACATGTGTCTAATTCTATTTAAAATACAACTACACACGCAATTAGTTTCACACTGACAGTGTTAAAAAAAAAATCTTACCTGAATTTCCAAATTCGTCTTTTTGTACTTCTTCATTTAACTTTGCAAGTCTTAGCCTGTTGTATTAGGTGAAAATGCAAATAACAATTTCATATTGCTGTTTTGTAATTTATTTCTTACTGTCTTAGTCACACACCATTTAATATTTAATGGTCAAAATTCAATATCCTGGGTCTTCAATACACAATATTAGGCTGCTTTATAATCTATGGTCATGTTTAATTGTATTTCTTCTGATCATTAGTAATACTATCACTAATAATATCAAATCAGGTTTCTTGTGTATAAAATCCAATAACAGTTTTCAAATCTTAAAGGCTCGTTCCATTAAGAAATGAAGTTTAGTCTAAAGTGATTAAAACAGGTACAATGAAATATGTTACACTGTCAAATTAATTCTACGTGTAAAGTTTTGTGAGATTTAATTACATCAGTGAAACTTATAAACACAAATTAAACAAGTACTTTAGACACTAAATCTTCTTACAGTGATTACTATAATTAAAGCTTGTGATATTTCCTATGTTACTGATTTGTTTAAAATGAAGATGACAGAATGATGATTTAGTTGTGTAACAGGATCATGTTACACTGCACCCGAGTCATAAAACTAAATAGAAATGAAGTTCTTATACTAACTGGCAAGTTAAGCTGCCCCAAAAATTATTTTATTGTGAAAAAAATTATCATTTCAATAAAAATTAGTCATACTATTGTTTTTTTTTTGTATTATTCAAGGATAAATGTATTTAATAAGCAAAAATACAGATACAAACATATATTTATAGATAAAATAGGCAATAATCATAACATTTCAAAAATGCATTAAGACCAAATGGTAAACATTTTAAGAAAAAAAGTTAAAGTGTTAACTGTGTGTTTATCGGAAGAGTAATTTTTTCTCTTCTGATCAGGTTAAAGCAATGTTATCTGAATAATTATTCCACTTGTAAAACACCAGATGATATATCCCATACTTACAATGTTACAATATCAGCATTAGCATTGGTTACTGCTATGTCAAGAGCATTATATCCAGCACTATCAACAATATGTTGGTCTGCCCCTCTTTTCAACAGCTGACAAACTTGTCTAAAAGAACAAAAAATAAATACCTTGGAAACACTTGTGTTCCAAAAAAAATCACAGTTAAAAGATGGTCTGCTCTACCTCTAATATAAATATTACAAGTGGCAATACCAACTAAGAACTATTCTCCTTGCCTGTTAATAGTTATACTTACAGTAATAAATCTCAATCTGAATTTGGGACTATCTTGCTTTTTTTTTTATTTAATACTTTATACAAAAAAGTATAAATACCTGGCTATCTTCCACTTTAACAGCTCACACATAAAATCTATGAAAGACTGGTTTAGTCATACAGTTAAATTTAACTGCAAGTTTACATTTTTTACATCTTATATCTTTACTTTGAATTTCCATCTTTAGTTCTATACATCATTCATAACAATAAAAAAAGCTTTGTTTTAGTAGCTACAGTGTGATCAATAACACCTAATCCTATACTTTAGAATATTATTGTTTCTGTCCTTTACTTCAGGTGACAAAATCCATTACTTTACATTATTACATAAAACAATTATTATTATTATATGATAATGTTTTAGATAAATAAAACTTAAATATATCCATGCATTCAGCTATAAATTTAATACAGGTAAAACTCAATATTTTGTAATTTACTTCAAGGGCTTAAGATTTTTTTTCTTTTTAATCTTACAATTCATAACATTAAAGGTTAAGAAATATTAATATGTAAGTCAATGGTAACATAGGCTTGAAGTTTTCATATGGTGAGATAGACTCGTAATATGTGAAAAAATGCCTGTTTTTTTTCTAGCTTGTTCTTGAAAATTTGTAGTTATCTTGGGAATTCTAAAGATGGGTAAAAAAATTAATACTTATAACTTATCTATTAAATAAGTGTTAAGTCAGAAGTAAAGAGTTACATACATCATATATTTGTATGAAAAACAAAATGGTGGTAAAATATCCTACCCTGTATGTCCAAGTTCAGTGGCAAGATGAAGAGCAGTTTTTCTTTCCTCATCCTGATTGTTAACCTTAGCTCCATTCAAAAGTAAATATTCACATGCCATAATAGATCCCTATACAATAAGAAAGACACATTAAAATTGTGTGTGTATTCACACTGTGATAAAACCCTACATAGTAAGAAGATCATGCTCAAATAACATACTTCTTTTCCATGATTTAACCATGAAATGATATACAAGATGTCCTGGTATAGTACATAAAAAACAAGTCTTAATATTAGATGTCTTTAAGAATGAACTCAACATATACTTGTATACTGTAAACGGACACTCACTGTTCAGTGTCCCATATGGCTAGCTTAAAGAAAGATGGGAAACAAAATATCCATTACATTCAAAACTCTGCTTCAGAAAACAGTTGAAAGTAAATTGGAATTTATAATATTTAACTATAACAGGGAAAAACTACTGCTAGTCAGTTACCACCTCTCAGTTCATTTTATAAGGCATCTCATAATCTGTCATGTGACCTGAAATGCAAATGTTTAGTCATTCAACCTACACTCCTAAATGAACATTTGCTAAAGGTGGATTCTCAACTTTACAGTTCAAGACATTCCACTTCAATTTGAAGTGTGGTCAATACAACAGGAAGAGCAGCTTGGCATCAAGTTTGTGTAGTTAAAAACAAAGTATTCCCAACTACTCCTCTGAATGACCTCTTTCCAAGGCACCTTTAATACTTGTAGTCAGTCCAATGGACCAATCCTGTATTGGATAATTAATGTTTATTATAATTCTGAATTTATTTATGGTATCTTCACAAAATTTGCTAAGCTTTTATAGTAAAAATGACAATTAATTATTTCTACTGATGATTTGTTTGTAAGTTTACCGAGTCAGTCTGATTTAAACTCCGACTAGCTTGAGTGCACACTGATTTTCGTATTAAGAATAAAAATCCTTTTTTACCTTACAGTTTATATATAATTTTCATAACCTCTAGAACCTCCTAAATAATATCAATTTTTTTCAGTAAAATTTTATATTTTATCTGTTATTCTCTTTAGGCTAACACAAACTGTCAACTTGACTGACCTTGTAATCACCAAACAAAACAAAAAAAAAGTTAAATAAATCTAAATTATCTTTTTTCTTTCTAGAATGACCACATATTTTAACAGACAATTACAATTATTAATCCTAAAATCTTCAGTCCTTTAATGTTTTCACAACTGCTTTAATTTTATTTTATTGTTTCATTGCTCTTTGGACTATGTCTAACAGCTAAACTAGCGTAACAAAGCAAAAATTCACTCCGCAAGGGCATAGTGCGAGATACAGTACACAAAGTAATGAATTACATCATGCATGAGCAGCTAGCATGTATTTTCATTTAGGTTTCTTACCTAATTTAATAAGTTTTTAATTTTTACATATTAGTTACTTTAATAGCAATAAATAAAAATAACATAAGAAACAAGACATACAGCACTTATATGTGGGTCTAGTAATTTTTTGCATTTGAAATTTTGAAGTCTTGATAAAAGTTAATCCTAGTTTTTAGTAATGTTGTTGTTAGTACTTTAATTAATTTTTTGTTAATTTCAAATATGCAGTTTAAAATACAAAACAATAACATGCACAAAGGACACAATGTCCTATAACAATTACACTTTCCCTGGCTTTCTAACTCAGCTATAGGTGCATTAAAAATATTTCCTTACCTGGTTAAAATGATCTTGGTAATAACAAAAATGAATATGTACACAGAATAATTCAAAACTATTCTCTGAATAAGCTAGCCTTATATGGAAATAAGTAAATCAAAACCTTCTCTTTGGTTATAAATAATTCAACAACAAATGTGAAAAGGAATCACTGACATTTTTGAAAAGATAGTAAGTGATAGGATGGCATGACATGTGGGTTTGGCTCTCTACTCTAACTATATGCACTCAGTTGATTTGAGTCCTCATAACCACCACACAAAAATACAAAATAAATCTAAATCACCCTTTTTTTCTTTCTATCATGACTGCAAATTGTAACATGAAGCTACAACTGTTTATCATAAATAGCTTAAAGCTCACAATAGTATATTTTATTCCCCTTTGAATCATGTCTAACTCATAATCCTGCCACACAAGTTGTAAATCACTCAGTGAATACATAGCTCATGTTACCATATTGAATTATGTTACATACAAGCTGCTCAAGGGCATACCAGGTGAAGAATTATTACTATTATTATTATTACTTCATTATTTTATCTAATCTAACCTGGCTGCTGCAGAAGTTTAAGCCTTTTTTTTTGTTTGTTTTATACTCGTGGTACTAATACACTAATTATTTTTATTTGCTTAAATAATGCAACTAAGAACACAGAAAATTAAATGCACAAAGTAAACAATGTCCTATAGTTAACTGGCTTTCTAATTATGGTATAAGAGCCTTAAAATAACACTGTTTTATAAAAGTAGTTTTGCCTTATGATAGCTAAAATATCAAAAATTCTAATAATCCTTTAGTTGTTTTATGCTTGTGTATGTTGGGCATGAGAATGTGAGAAACTGAAATTACTGATATTTATTTAATAACAGAGTGGCAAATGAGATTTTAAATGGCTCACTATGTGAACTTACATTTTCGAGTCTAGAAACCTGCATTAAAAATTATTTTTGACTTAAACAATATAACTGCTGAATAATATGAAGTTAAATGGGGAGAATTTTACCTTTAATAATCTTCAACATAATCAACATAACATATAAGTACCCAAACAATAGACTATTTTACAACAACTGGTAACTAGTTTAATTAAAAAATAAAAGCATACACTCATTATTGCCTGGTGAAGAGGCAACATTCCTCTGTCTTCATCATTACTCCAGTTTAGATCCCCACCGTATGCCTGAGCCTGACACATGACAGGTATGTTGTGTGCTGCTGCAGCTCTAAAACAGACAGCAATCTCAATTAATAACCAGTATAAAAAACTGAAATTTACGTGTAATTCCCCTGTTTACACTAACACAGACAGTGTAAACATATTTCAGAAAACAAATTTTTATTAAGTCGTTTAACCAAAAATAAACATTTTTATGTTGTATTCTTAAAAACAAAACTAGCAAAATACATATAAAATCTATAAGGATAACAAGAAACTGTTCATAAATAAAAGTCTATACTTTTTCTCTTAGATAGTTATGTTAAATAGATAAGGGACATAAGAAATGCAGTGTTAAGCAAAAACAATGAAACTAACTGATACCAACACCTTATAGTCAAAGATAATTAATTCTTAGAAAAGTATGAACATTTAACCAAATGATAATTGGTATGTGTTCTGTTTAGCTTATGTTATGTCTGCAGCAGCTGTGACAAACTAAATGATTATTGTCATGTGTTGTGTTTAGCTTATGGCTTTAACAACAGTGATTCAAATGATCACTTTCATGTGTTCTGTTTAGCTTATGTCTTCAGCAGCTGTGACAAACCAAATGATCATTGTCATATGTTCTGCCTAGCTTACGTCTTCAGCAGCTGTGACAAATCAAATGATCATTGTCATCTTTTCTATTTAGCTTATGTCTTCAGCAGCTGTGAAAAACCAAATGATCATTGTCATATGTTCTGTTTAGCTTATGTCTTCAGTAGCAGTGACAAACCAAATGATCATAGTCATGTATTCTGTTTAGCTTATGTCTTCAGTAGCAGTGACAAACCAAATTATCACAGTCATCTGTTCTATTTAACATATGTCTGAGATAAGGATCAGCAAAAGCATGTAATACTTAGCATTTTTAACCACATTCCACACACGAATCTGGACCTTGTTGGACAGAAATTAAACTAGCTCATTCTTAATGTCCTTTTCCAGTTTGTGCTTATGAATTTCTTGTGTGGTAGTTTTAGATGTGATCAAATATGATCATTATTCCACAAATTTCAAGAATTTTTCATTTCTCATTGAGGAGATCTTTTCACGAATTCCACAAAGAGAAATGTTTTAGGTTCTATGAACTCTTACCAATGTAATAAATATTTAAAGTACATGTTGCCAATGCGATCTATTGATTAAGCAGGTGTAGACTTTACAAGTCAACTGTTTAATATATGTTCAGTGAAGATTCTACTTCCTTCCAGATGATATACTGACTATTCATGCTGACTTAAAAGTGTTGAAAAAATTTTCAGTCTACTGTTCCATTTGATGATGCTGTGGCAGAAACACAGAAGTGCTGTGAACAACTACTGGACCCAATTCCTTGGTACATCTTCTCCGTTGACAAGTTTGTTATGGTAATAAATTGTTGTAAATTTCTTTTCCTTGTGTTCTCAGAGAAAATCTGTAGCTGTAATGGACCCATTTTAACTAGCAACTGCTGTGCCCATGAGACATCTGTTTGGAAGACCCAAATCAAATATACAGGTTTTCCCCTTTTTGTTTACTTTTCCTCTTTAGAATTGTTTTTGTCATAATGTTAAGGTTTATTCAAATCCTAAGACAACATGATAGGAAATTGTAGCAATGATTTTCCACTAGTTTTAGTACTAGCAGTTTTTTGATTCATGCTTATGGTATTCTCTTCATGTGTTTTTAATATATTGCATTGCAAAGATAGAAAATAGTGCCTTTTGGTTTCTTAAGCCTACCTCATCTTTTTCTGCTTTCAGAAGATACTGAGCACCAGAAAGCTAGTGGTTTTCATCAGCCATGTTGGTCTAAGTTCAAGTTTATCCATTTTAGAATTACAGCTGTTTTAATTTTCTAACTTATTGTACTTTTAAACACTTGTATCTCACAACAACAACAAACAAATGTAAACAAAATATTTGTATCACAAAAATATAAATACTTACTTTTAAACCATCACAAATATTAATTTATAAGGTACCATTATTTAACAGTTATTACATTTGCGATCCAATACATTCATTTAATGCTGCACACTAAGTCCAATCAAAAACTATTGTTAGTAATAAAATTTAAGAAAGTAGGTTTAGCTTAAGGTCTAGCTTTTGTGATAAAAATCACATTAGCTGCAGATCTTTCCACATTCCTCTTAGTTTTGTGTCCCACAAGTCACTGCCTAAGATGCCTTTAATGAAATAACAAACTTGTCAGTTGGTGAAAGATGATAAAAATTATACCATATTTCACTGTCACTATGCAGTAGTTTCAGGCTGATTCAATAATTTTGTCTAAAAGTAGAACTAATACTTGGCAGATGACATGTACTATTCACATTCAGGCAGTGGAAGCATTCTTTTAACAACAATAATTGAAGGTGCCTAAGTATAAGTACTGAGACCTATTGCTTCATACTATAGTTTCTTCCTCTTTCAAGGAATATTTCTATATATTGAGAGTAGTAAATGAGTATACTGGGAATTGTTATGATGGTATGGGACCTCTAAGACCAGTTGAATGACATATTTTGTCTTGTATGGCAATTTTTTTCAATTTTGCCTTAAGTCATTTAATCCATAAGGAAAGATGACTTGTTATTCAATTAACAAGACATACTGAATGTTATGTTGGTACTTATTCTGTAAGTGAGAAGGCAAACACTTTTCATTTAAATACAGTCTACTGACATTACATTTACTGTACCTGAAAATGTATTTCTGACAGATACTCACCTTGCTCACTAGTGCATCTGCCTATGATTTTTGCATGACACTAGACTTGAGCTAATTCCCACCTAAAATCACATGTTGAATGGAAACTGCTCTAAAACATGATGATAGCCCTCCACCAATAGGAGGGTGACATAACCTCCTTATACTATAACTCTCCTGAATCATTTGCACTGGAAATAACTTCATTCTTAAATGAGCAAAAGAAAAAAAAAGTGCACCAGAAGTGGGGAAGAAGGGTGGAAAGGCATCTATCAGAAATACATTTTCAGATAATGAAAAGTTTAACTTTTGAGATGATACCTCACCTCAAATACAGATTAGCTAGAATCTCACACTAATATGATGGAGCAGTCAGTGCAAACATTAAACCTAGATGAGCTCCCTTCAAAAAACACCTGAAGGGAAATTCCACGGAGTGTGACATCTGATGGCAAGGGATCCATAGGTGCACTCCTGTGAGGGACCTCACTTTGTCTCAACCAAGGTATACTCTTCTCCCAGAAGGAAACACAGGAAAAGGCAAAAGACCCCTAAGTGTCACATGACTGAATGGAATTTTTTGCATAACCAACCAACCACCCACACATAAGTGGTCAGTGAGCCAAGAAGAGTAGTGTGGTTAGGGCACAATCAGAACATAAGATCTGTGTCTAACCTCAACACAACAAGACAGACAGAGACTGGGGTAATGAACCCAACCTGTTGCAGGAGGAGGGTACACTATCTGTTTGAGAGGTGACCTGCACTACACACACCATATTGCACTGTACCCAATTAGTGAAGAACTCTCATAAGTCTGCCACCCCAGTACCAGCGAACTGGTAAGTGGCAAAGGTCTCCCACGATTCACTTGAAGAAAGGGAGAGAATTTGTGTTGGGGAGACCCAGAGAAGTGTCTGGATTCCCATCACATGCCTGCTAGAAAGGTTTTTTATTGGAGACAGTGAATTTGATAACCATGAAATCTATTTTTAAAAGCCAGCAAGCATGGCCTAAAGAAGTGGGTGCTGGGTTTCTTCATGATAGTCCATGAAATAGTACAGTCTGGATTAGGCAATTGAGTAATTTGAATACCACAAGAATACACCTAGTGGTTCTGCAGAACTTCCCATCTCAATAGTACGGACTGGTAGAACAAAGGCAGATGGGTTAAACATTATTCATTATTCCTGGCCTGATGTAGAAAAAGAGTGATGACAAAGAAAATGTACTTCTCAAAGACCATGTATAGATTGAAGAATAGTGACAAAATGGAGTCGAAATTCTATAGAAAACAAAACAGGAGACGAAGATGTGAGAATTCATCCACATGCCAGCCTGAAGAATCTCGACCAAGGGTCAACAAAAATATGATGAAAGAAAGTGAGACACATTGAAATAAAAATAACCATGAAATTGTCGGAGTGGATCATGACCAACTGATTAATGAGAAGAGGGGAGGAAATGTTAACATGCCTGATGAACTGCGAGAAGTTTGAGTATGTTGATGTGGAACGAATGCTCCTCTGGATCCCACATTCCCAAAGTCATGTTGCTGTTCAGAGATGTGCTCCAGCCTGACAGAGAAGCCTTTGTGAAAAGATGGAGATCCAATCGAGGGCAGCAAGAGGATACCCACCATAGTATTGGCACTGTCTACCCACCAAGACAAGTCCGTAAAAGGAGGAGAGAGAGGGGGCACACTATTAAGGACAATGGATCTTGAGAAAGATTCCACTGGTCACACAGTGTCCACTGGAGGAGACACACGTGCACAACTTAAAAAAATGAGTAGTTCTAGAGAAGCCAGAAACCCTAAATGAGAAGCACAAACCTTGGTGATAAGATATGCCATTGCTTGCAAGCAAAGTGGTGAAGGCTAAGATGAAATAAGATGAGAACACATCCATATGTACCAAATACTTTGGTAGTTGTGAGAAAAGACTTAGAACGTTTAAACTAGCCAGTCCAGCTGAGCAGCTTCCTGCACAAGAATGTAGGTGTGAGAGAATGAGTCCTTTCTATGTAATAATGAAACCTCAGCCCCAATCTGTGAGTATGGCAGGCAATTGCCCCCATGACTCTGTTGAACACCTAAAAAGCAGATGCAATGCCAAAATGAAGTGTATGGAGCTGGAAAATTCGATTACAATGGACAAAACAGAGAAAATGTCTGAAGGATGGAGCAACTGGAATGTGTAAAAAAATTTCTAAAACACTGACCTTTGTCATGCACAGACTGAGTGAAAAGGGCCACCAGAGAGAATGGAAACCCTCCATCCCAAACAGCAGAATGATTAGAAAGTGGTTGAGAGACAATAGGTTGATA